TTTCACTCAACAAAAACTACCTGAAGTGCAGTAGTACCTAGACTTCCATGAAAGTTGTACAATCTTTAGTTCCCCAGTATTCAAGAAATCGAGAGGGATTGTCTTAAGCTAGTGCGTGAATGGTTTTACAGTTGTGGATGGACGTCATATTTTTATCTTTGTCATCCTTTTGTTGTGGGTTTTTTTTTGTTGTTTTTTTTGGTCATCAATTTCTCTGTCTCTGTCTCTGTTTTCTTTCTTCCTTCCTCTTCTCTCCTATCTTCTTTCTGCCTTCCTCTTCTGTCTTCTTTCTTCCTTCCTCATCTACTCTGTCCTTTTCTTCCTTCCTCTTCCAATCTGTTTTCTTTCTTCCTTCCTCTTCTCTTCTATCTTCTTTCTTCCTTCCTCCTCTACTCAAAATCTTCTTTCTTCCTTCTTCGTCTACTCAGAATCTTCTTTCTTCCTTCTTCGTCTACTCAGAATCTTCTTTCTTCCTTCCTCCTCTACTCAAATTCTTCTTTCTTCCTTCTTCGTCTACTCAGAATCTTCTTTCTTCCTTCTTCGTCTACTCAGAATCTTCTTTCTTCCTTCTTCGTCTACTCAGAATCTTCTTTCTTCCTTCTTCGTCTACTCAGAATCTTCTTTCTTCCTTCTTCGTCTACTCAGAATCTTCTTTCTTCCTTCTTCGTCTACTCAGAATCTTCTTTCTTCCTTCTTCGTCTACTCAGAATCTTCTTTCTTCCTTCTTCGTCTACTCAGAATCTTCTTTCTTCTTCTTTGTTTGGTCAGAATCTTCTTTCTTCCTTCCTCTTCTACTCTATCTTTTTTCTTCCTTCTTCTTCTACTCAAAATCTTCTTTTCTTCTTCTTTGTTTGGTCTAACTCTTCTTTCTTCCTCTTCTACTCCGTACTCTCGGCTCCACCGATTTTATTGTCATGGTGAAGCTCTTCGTCCGCCATTGCTGGCAAAATACGCGAGTCCATTTTTGAGCGTGGGAATGTTCTTTCAGCCACACCTCTGATCTTTTGGTAGGTAAGATCTACACCTAGCCCTCTCGGATATGAGCGAAAAATCTAGGAGATCCCGTGTGGACGCTACGCCCGCTAAAGATCTCTTGATGGTCCAAAATGGATAAGAGTAGGCTTCAGCCTCTACGCGGGCAAAATTCAAAATTTCCCACCAACTGAAAATATTTAATGTCTCCCGCGAGCTCATATGACCTTATGACGTTGCGTGCGCCGTAAAACACTTACCAAAAAACAATAAATAAACGATAAAAAAATAACCACAGTTCTATTGTAATGTAAAAAAATACATAAGGGGAAAATGGGAAGTGGCTGTTTGTACAGGTGATTGCCTTATATTGGTTGACCGTCTTACACAATGCCATTACCTTTTTCCCAGTACTGAACGACAGTTACTGAGTCGATGTACTTCTCTTTACTCCAAACATACAAACAGACCACTGGTAAATAAAAATAAGTTGTTGGTTGGCGGGTGCTCTGGTGTAGTTTGTTTCTTCTTTCCTATGAAAAATATATCTTCCTTATCTCCCCTTCTTCTTTTTTCTTTTTGTGACTTTCTTGTAACACCTCTAATCTTCTGGCGCTCATAATATGACCTTATGCCGTTGTGAGCGCCGTAAAACCTCTACTAAAACTAAAACTAAAACTAATATAGATAAGAGAGGACATGGCAAGTGACAGTTTGTTCTGTAATTTTCTTGAGCAGATTGCCGTTAAAGAAAGTTCGATTCGACTGTTGTTAACAAAAAGACTCCTCCTCCTCCTCATCATCATCATCATCATCATCATCATCATCATCATCATCATCATCATCATCATGCTCATGCCTTTCTCACCCTGCACCATGGTATAGACCACGGACAAACACCTTCCACCTTTCTCTATCCTGGGCTAGCCTCTTGATGTTATTCCATGTCTTCTCACTTTTCTGTACATCAATTTCTGTTTAGTTTTTAGTCTAGTTTTAATAAGGTTTTACGGCGCTCGCAACTGCATAAAGTCATAATTATGAGCGCACATCAATTTCTGTGATTTTTCTTCATGTTCAAACGCGGTCTTCCCAGGGATCTTTTACCCTGTCGCTAGAGCATGTTGGACTGTAAATTACAAAAATATTCCAATTGTTCTGAAATGGGTATTATCAATATCCTCTCTATAATATATAATGTTACCCCCTGCTTCTGTTATACCATCCGGGGCGGTGACACCTACTGAAGTGTCTTTAGACCATTCCCAAAAAGAGGGGACATTTCTCGTTCATGCACAGTAGAATTGTAAATGGGCAGATCTAACTATGTTATGCTCATAACTGTGCCTGATCTACAACAGGGAATTGCTGCTTTTTCTTTCCTAATCCTTAATAGTGTCATTTTTCTTTAACTTCTTTTGTATGTTTGTCACACTCTTGTAACCCACTATTTCCGGGGTGCCCTGATAGTCGAAGCAGACTTTATGCTATTGAAGCTAGAGAGGTGAGCAGAGTAAGTCCCATTTCCTGTAAGGACTTCTCTGTTGACATCAACCCCTTGGCGCTCCTATGACCGTATGCAGTTGCGAGCGCCGTAAAACCTCTACTAAAACTAACATGCCTTTGTTATCTATGCACAAACAGCACACAACAGACAGCAGTTGAAACAGAAGGATTATCTCTTATCTTCTCAGAGCCCAGGTGACTCATCTTGGGTGGTTGACGGGTGGTGTGGTGTGGTTTGCTTCTTCTTTCCTATCAAAGACCTATCGTCCTTGTCTCTCCTCCTTCTTTTTTTATGTTTGTTACTCTCTTGTAACACCTCTAATCTTCTAGCGCTCATATGACCTTATGCAGTTGCGAGCACCGTAAAACTTCTACTAAAACTAAACTAAAGACAAAAGTTGAAACAGTAGGATTATCTCTTATCTCCTCAGCTCCTAGGTGACTCATCCAGTGAATTGCTCTCTAAACCTATCCCTGTCTCATGGCTCTGTTGGGGGTAGGAGTTCAGCGTCCGTTGTGTTATTTGACTTGGAATCTTTCTGTTCCCTATAATATGTGAGGCAGCGTTGTGAAATCAGGGGCTCATCAAAATAGTGAAATTGTAGAAACATGCATAATTTTTCCGAAAGTTTGGAAATTTTTATCGAATTTTTATTTTGGGGCTCAACCTCTTTTTATGTCCGTATATAAAAACTCATTTCCTTGTGAATTTTACTGGACAATTTTCATTAAAGGCACAAAATATGTCAATTTTTCGAACTCTTTAGCTAATAGAATTACCACACTTTGGCGGCCATTTTCTCGATAATTTCACCACTGAAACCAGACGACCTCACTTCTCTCAGTCGCAATTATCTTGAGCTCTAATCAAGATAGATGGGTATTTTTTTCATCGAATGCGAGACAAATAATCAAGTTTTAAGAAGGTACCATTAACTCCACACGCCTTAAAATTGACGAGCGCCTGATTCCACCACGTCACGACACATATTACTGTTATGTTCAGTTGGCGCCGCGTACCTCTACGCTGGTTTCCGTTGCTCCAGTAGGTTTTTGGGCTCAGAGGAATGCTAATGAAATTTTGAGTCAAATTAAATTGTGAAGGCTGAACCGTCTCTATATATCTCTCACGTTTTCTGTATCTCTTTGCTTGTCTACCTGTCTGCTTGCATGCTTGTCTACCTGTCTGCTTGCATGCTTGTCTACCTGTCTGCTTGCATGCTTGTCTACCTGTCTGCTTGCATGTTTGTCTAAGCTGCACAAATTATATGGGCCAGATTGCGCTTTGTTTTGCCTTTGCAGTGTTATCAGAATTTGTTCATATCATTCTCTTGGCTTTGAACAAAATCGGAGTAACATTTACTATTAGTATAACATGATTTTTATCATTATTATCTTTATGATTTTTTTGAAAGAAATTTCTGTGAATTCGGAAAGAAACTCAGTGGGTGGTTGGCGGGTGCTCTGGAGTGGTTTGCTCCTTCTTTCCTATCAAACATCTATCGTCATGATCTCCCCACCTTCTTTTTAATGTTTGCTACTCTCTTGTAACACCTCAAATCTTCGGCACTTATATGACCTTATTGTGTTACAAGTGTCGTAAAACACTTACTAAAACTAAACCTACATCTTGTAACACCTCTAATCTTCGGCACTTATATGACCTTATTGTATTACAAGTGCCGTAAAACACTTACTAAAACTAAAAAAGGAAAAAAAATCAGACGAAACCTTCCATCCACCGGTATATTATATATAATGAATGATGGGTTCGATATAGTAATACAATGTAGTTGTAGTTGTCATGACAGGGTTGCATAAAGCCCAACAGTACGAGGCTAGACGGTCAGTAGTTAAGAACGTATAGGTACGAGGCTTACTTTCATACCTTGTGTTTCTGTTCATTCATAATTTTGGTTTTATTTCTCTCCTTCGTTTTGTTGCGAGGGGAGGTTTGTCGGTTTGTTTTTGTTTGTTAGTTTGTTTGTTTTTATACGAAAAAAAAGGAGGTGGGGTGGTGAAGGTTCAAATTATCCAAATAACCGCTTACCTGGTCATCGAACTCAATTAAAATAAACGGTTATATCGTTTTTGTTTGTTTGTTTTTATTCGTACTGATTTCCCTCTCGTCTCCCCCTTGTCTCCCCCTTGTCTCCCCCTTGTCTCCCCCTTGTCTCCCCCTTGTCACGCTTGACTTGACAGTGTGTGGTGAATTGAGTCATGGCATGGTACAACATAATATAATACCTGTTGTTATTATTATTGTTGTTGTTATTGCCATTGCTTTTGTTATCATTGTTGTTACTGTAATTATTATTATTATTATTAGTTTTATTATTATTATTATTATTATTATTATTATTATTATTATTATTATTATTATTATTACTGTTTTTGTTTTTGTTTTGTTATTATTATGTTATCATCATCATCATCATCATCATCATCATCATCATCATCATCATCATCATCATCATCATCATCATCATCATCATCACATCTGTTGTGTTTTTTTCCCTCAGCTTACACCCGCCAGCTCCACCCCCGAGCTATTTATAGTATAGCCACCCACGGCCCGTGACCCCCACACTGAGAGAGACACCGGAAGAGGAGGGCAGACAGAAACTGCTACTGACGTCACACAGTCGCCACCACCCCGAGCCACGCCCCCTCGCTACCGGAAACCGGCCCGCCGTCTATGACGTCACTCATGTCTCAGAGCGACTACTGGTGTAAAAAACCGGCAGCGGCTTCCCCTAGATCTGCCGGCTCCGGGTCGAACCCCAGATCTCTGAGATCCTCCCCCGTCGCCGCTACCGCTAACACTGGTGGTGGGCAACAAGGGAGTACTCTTACAGCCTTATCGGAATCAAACACCGGTATTAGTAGTAATAACAACAATAACGGTAATAATTGTAGTAGTGGTAATAGTAATAATAGTAGTAATAATAATAACAATAATAACAACAGCTCCCCGGCGCACGGTAACTGCACGCCCAGAGCCTCTCCTTCGGGTTCGAACTCCCGCCCTACGTCTGTAGGCCCGACGACGTCGTCATCAACCGCTGCAGGAATCCACCACCACTCCCACCCCCACCAGCAACAGTCTCCGTCATCTCGTCCTGCCTCCGTGTCAGGCAACCCGTCCCCCTTCTCCTCTGCGTCATCTCCTGTTGGCGCGTCTCCTTCCCGAGACTACAGCAGACCCGCTGCCAACTCCTCCCCGGGAAGTAGCTACTTTGTCAAAAGAGAGCCCAGTGACGTAGGAGATACGTCATCAACAGGTGTAGACAACAGGAGGCAGGAAGCGGAAGAAGCCAGAGCGGCGTTTCAGATCCAAAACCCCAACGCGGAAGAGGTAGAGCGGAAGTACGCGGAGAGTTTATACCCAGCTGGTGAAGGAGGAGGAGGAGGAGGAGGGGAAGGAGGAGGAGGTGGTGGTGGAGGACCTCCAGGAAGAGGTAGCGTGGATAAGCAAGACGCTGCTAGTGTGAGGGAGTTCAAGTTCCAGTCTTTCGTGAAGACTCGGTCGCCGGGAACGACTCAGTCTCGCTTTCAGCCGGAGGAGCTCGGGCCTCTACCGCCCCAGGCTGTCGCCGTTCACAGCGGAAATCCGGCGGTGCCTCAAGAGTACATCGTTAACGGCAGTAGTCTCACCAGCGGTAGTACTGTCCGAGTGCTTTCGCAACAGCAGCAGCAGCAACAGCAGCAGCAACAGCAACAGCAACAACAGCAGCAACATCATCAACAACAACAGCAACAGCAGTCACTGCAGGTTCAAAGCCACGCGTCTCAAAACATCTTACAATCCGTGAGAAACCTCAGCCCTTCTGCTCAAGCCGACTCGAAAGTGACGTATTCTGATCTGCAGGGTCAGCATCTTCACCACTCTCACCACTCTCCATCCGCGTCGGCGTCCACCCTCCCCAAATCCCTCCCTAATTCATCCTCGTCGACTTCGTCCTCACCGTCTTCCTCCTCCTCCTCCTCTGCCGCGCATCACCACCACCACCAACAACACAATAACAGCGTTCACCACCCTCACGAAAGCCCCCTCTCCTCCCATCTCACCCCCTTAGGACACCAACCACAACACCCGCCTGCCGCCCACCTCACACCTTTGGGACATCATCTCCAACAACAACAGCAACAACATCAGCAACAACAGCAACAAACCACCCCAGGAGGAGGAGGAGGAGGCAGCGGTCAGTACGACACATCAGAACTCCTCCTACCCACTGAAGACGTGGAGGTATTCTTCGACCACCTGGACAACACGCGACCCGTGCAGGTCATGGCCACAGCCCAGTACCCTTCGACCTCTGACCCCCAAGGCGCGGGCAGCATGAGCTACAGCTCGCTCACCAACTCCCCGCTCAACTCAGCCGGCTCCCAGCACGCAGCCATGTACCACCCCACGTCACGCGGAGCGAGGTTACTCACCCTCCAGCCGTCCACCTACACCACTGACCCATCACACATAGGCGCACAGGGAGGCTCCACAACCTACCACAACCTACCCCCGATGCCCTCCCTCTTCGCCTCCTCCTCCTCTCGACCCAACGCCCACACACCCACCGGAAGCGGCAACGGAGGCGTCTATAGCAACAACGGCCACGGTCAAGGACATTCGCCATCGCCCCAGCACATGGTCTCCGGCCAGGCTTGGGGTCCACCAGCCCCAGAAGCTGTCTACACCAACCTCAGCTCTCCTATGTCGGAGTCTCAGAAGTACCAGTACATGACCTTAGAAGCCGGAGGGGCGGGGCTTTCTCTCATAAGCCACGCCCCTCCCAGGACAGAGTCGGTGTTGTCCAGGCAGTTGTCACAACCGCCAGTCTTGGACATCTACAGCACGGCGGCTCAGCGCGTGGTGGGAGCACCCGGTGGTCCGGGAATTCCTTCTGGGGCGCCGTATGGAACCCCCGACATGCAGACGTGGAACTATGCCGTGCTTCCTGACACCCGGGCCATGAAAGGTGAGATGGTTTATCTGGTCTGTATGTTTGTTTGTCTTTAAGGCTGTTGGTCTGTCTGTCTGTATGTCTGTCAGTCTGCTTGTTTGTTTGTCAGGCTATTGGCCTGTCTGTTTGTGAGTCTCTCGGGGTGTTGGTCTTTCTGTCTGTATATTCTGAGATGGTCCATCTGGTTTGTCTTAATGTGTGTATGAGGGCAGTCTGTTAGACTTTTGGTCTTGCTATCTATTTGTGGATTCTTTCTGTCTATTTGTTTGGCCTGCTGTTGGTCCATCTGTTTGTATGTTCAGTCTGTCTGAGTACACTATCGGTTTCTATTTCCTTTATCTGTTGTTTTTCTCTATCTGTTTGCATCTCTTTTCGTTCTCCTAATTGTCTCTTTCGTTGTTTTTTTCGTCAGTCGCAATGCCTGTCTAGATGGCTCGAATTTGTTTCTGCCTTTTTTCTCTTTTCCCTCATCTCCTTATCTCTTTGCGTCTCTCCTACGTTTGTGCTTGTGTGTGTGTGTGTGTGTGTGTGTGTGTGTGTGTGGT